GAGATAAATACATGGGGAGATAGCCCGTCTTCTGCTCTTTCAGAAATGCTATAGGTTTCTATCCAAAAACCTTTTTTGGCTGAAAACCCTAATGGTTTCTGTAATCCCCTGCAGGAAAAATACGTTTTTTTCTAAAAAAAAAAGAGAATTTCAAGATTTTTTCCAAAAAAGTAAATATTTTGATAGATTTTTAAAATATTTTAATAATTTTTATAGAAAAATGGAATCTCTAACAGCAAAAAATAAGAAATAAACTGATTGATACACACGAGGAGAGCTGTATTAAAAAAACCTTTAATATGAAAAATTTTACAAAAGAAGAAAAAAAACTTTATTAACAGTTACTTATTGTTCTTCTATCCATGTTCTTTTATCTTTGGAATTATAATAACCATAATCATCATCTAATGACTCATCATTACTTGATATTGTGTCATTATCATCAGTAACATGTCCGTTACTATCAGTTGTTGTGTCATTATTCTCAGGTGCTGCTCCGGTCACAGTATTTGTATCATTATAATCATCATCTATTTGATCAGCACCATCAATCACTGCATCATTGTCCTCTTCTTCATCGTCATTTTGAATCAAAACATGGCCAGCTTCTTTTCTTCTTTTTCTGTTGTTTTCTTTTGACTCCGTATGCAGTCGATTGTTATCAAAACGTACCATTGCTTGATCAGTATAATAACCACGATAACCACACATGACATTGAAAATATCTCCTGTGAAAATATAAGACAAATATTTATCTGAAAAAAAATCAAAAACTTCAATTATGATTTGAAATAGCTTGTGAAATTATTTGTTTTATCATACCTAATGCAAAATATCCATCGTTAAATATTATTATTGCAAGACAACATGCGATTTCGAAAGTTGTCTCAGATGATGCCTTGTGTTTTAGTGACATAAGCCAAACAAGCGAATGAAAACCTTCATTTGGATTTTGAGTTGAATCATCCACCACACGTGTAAGGCTTTCTCATGAACAAAGATTGTTAAAAACTGGTTTAATTGCATGAAGTACAGGACGACGTATAGCATGCGACGTATGATCATATGGAGTTTTATCATGAACAGATTTCAAATAGCCATACCAATCGATACTGCAATAATCATGACGAGGATCATCATTGGTCGAATATTTATGCCAAAATATTGCCCAAGATCCTTTAAATAATAAATCTAGATCATGCTTGAACTTTCGAATGTTAGAGGCCAATGTCATTTGTAATCGAAGTATATTATGAACTAAAATTAAAAAAAAATATCCAAATTTTCGATTTCTTTTGTTTCAAAATCTTCTTCTGAATTAGAAAGACTTACCAGATAGACGATTTTTACCACCAATTGTTTTACCATCAGATAGTTTTTTTCGTCCGTGTTCACGTTTTATTGTTTCTAATCCTCGTTTCATTCTTTTGCTAAAATGATTCAAGTCTTCGATTTTTTTAATTTCTTTTCCTAAAATTACAGAACAGTTAGAGCATACTTTAATTTAGAAAAAAAATTCGCAAATCGAATATATATAGTATACCTGGATAAGGTACGATTTTTGAAAGCACTGGGAAGGTTTTTGAATCACCATCACCAACGTACTTAGTATAGTAAACTCCATATTTTGAAACTGATCGTTTGAACATAGTAAGAATAGCAGCAGATTCCATTGTATCAGAACTTTTTTCATAATTTTTTTCACATCGATGCGTTCTAATAATATTTTCATATTTAGCAGGATTGGATTTTTTAATAAAAAGTGCACCTAAAAAAAAAGTATTCAATCAAGAAAAAGAAACTCACCCATGTAAGTATTGCATGTTTTACTGCATGTTTCTATATCCAGTACTTTTGGTGTTGGGTTACAAGATAAAAGAGCAGCCGCACCATGTCTGCTTTGGAAACCTCGAGTCTGCCAGAATCCATCTCCACTAACCATTAATTCTGTACCATTTTCAGCAGCTACAGTTTCCTCTACTGCTTTCTTCATTGATCTTCCGGTGAATGATTTTACTACAATTAGTAAATTTCTATTCCATTTGGAATATCTTTCATCTTGAATGGGACTCGGTAAATTCAGAGCACCCATCAACTTCACTAATCCAGCATGTCTGATACCACACAAATGACCACTTATTTTTGATCTTACGTTGATGTCTCGGCGATCTGATGCAACAATCTTCGGACTTGTTTCTAAAAATTAATTGAAAAAAATTTTGGATACATCAATAAAACGCAGACGGACTCGATAGTTAGAAATATTTACTTACCAATGGTGATTATGTTTTGACATATTGAACATTGAAAAGATAATATCAGGAATAAACCTTCGCGCTTGTTGATATTCATATTTCCACTCCAACGATTTCTACAAGCTTCACAATTTGTCTTGAAAATAAGAGACAATAACACTTGATTTTGTATTATTGAGTATCTATCCAATGGTACTTTCGAATATGACTTTGATGATGTTGATGTTATATCCAACTTCGTTTTGTTTTTAATCTTCTGTTGTGATGGTAAAGACGAACGTGTTGAAGATGTAGTTAGATTTGACGTTGTAGTTTGTGTTGTTGATATGTTTTTCGATTGTAAAGATGATGCTTCCATTCGTTTATTTTGAACTTTACGAATCGATGTTCTTCGTCTACTGCGTCTAATATTAAAATTTTTTTATTATAATAAGAATAATTATCAAATAAAAATTTTTTCCTTATAGCATTAGTTACAATATTCAACGATTTCAGATAGAGAATAGAATAAAAATTTGTTTGATATCACATACCGTTTTACGCTTTTTCTATTGGACATGACGTTTCAATCAACAATTCTTGAAAAAACAGCTGTGATAATAAGTCAAATATAAATCTAAAAAAATATTTATGAAATCAAAATCTGACCTCGTTTATTTACTTTTTGAACACACTAATATCATCATATACTGATAAAAAAGACAAACAAACGTGGCACACGTTCTTGTATGTTTAGAACATGACTGGAAATTAGAGAACACGAAAAAATAAATTTCAAGAGCGAAGGAAAGCAAAACAAAGAAAAGGCATCGCAAACGATGTGTTCTAGTGTGATCGATACATTTCATAAGAATTAGTCATTTGTTAGACTATTTTTGTCTTTTCTTTCTTTCTCTCTGATAACAATTATACATCATAAATGCTGGTTTTAGTATATAGTGATACAATATATTTGTAATAAGTATCCTTTTCAGTAAACAAAAAAGAATGAGACAATGTATAGTTAATGTTACCAGTATTTTTTCGATCAAGTCGACCATGTCCCTGTCGATATAAGTAACATAATATTTTACAGATGTTCAACATGTCATAAAAGGTTCTGGTTATACAAAATTCAAAATTATATAGACAACTGTTAGTCAATTTCTTCAAATAGACGCTAAAAATTGCTAAAAACGATAAAATATCAAAAAAATTTTCGCCAAAATCTTTTTCGTTTTTTCTCAGTTTCCACTTTCTCAAAAGCGCATCCCAAATTTCTCCTTCTCGGTTCATTCAATGTATTAATATTTTTTTTTTGTTTGAAAGAGCATCTCAAGGCGCAGGGCACGATGGGGCCATTTTTTTTAATTAAACCTTTTTTTGGTTAATATACAGCCAGTTATATGATTTGGTTACCATTTTTTGACACTTTTTTCAGTAATTGAACTTATGATCTCTTTTTTGCGCTTAAAAATGGACTATTTCAAAAAAACGGCCCCATCCTGCCCTGCATCTTAAGATGCTCTTTCCAAGAAAAAAAAATATTAATATATTGAAGGAACCAAGACCGAAAAATTTGGGATGCCAAATCAGTCATTTTTGACCCTTGTTTGGTTCATATCTCCCTAAAATCAAAAAGGTTTCGGGCCGAAAATGTTATGGTAGTCTTTTCTTTCCAACCCCAATATATCCTGAAAGTTTCATGGAATTTGGATGTTCCTGGGTTGAGATAGATTTTGGAGGGGGGGGGGGGGGCGGCTTAATAAGGAAAATGAAAAAATTAGTTGAATTTTGAAATATTTGAAGATTCTTTTCAATGAAGAGTTTTTGTGGAACTTATATATACTTTCGAAGAAAAGAGTCAGTGTAAATTTTGAGACCGAGATTTCCAGAGTTTCCTTCGCGCTATCATTACAGACACTTGGCCACAAAATAGAATATTATAGATATGTTCCATACGAGGAGATCCCCACTTTTATAGACAACTCTCATTGTAGAAATCTTAGTGCTATTAAGCTCTACAATCATGCACAGAAGGATTTTGGTTCTATAGAGTATTCTAATATGTTCCAAAATATTTGAAAAAAATTTCCTTAAACACATAATGCATTAGGGATAAGAACTTCAAAGATATACGTGAGTTCCATATTTCAGCTTCAAAGGAGTTGTTCTAACAACCTTTTTATTATCTTCTACTGTTAAATGAATTGGATTGCAATTGACATATATCATTAAAATCTAAGTTTTATTCAATTTGGATTAGGAGTTTATCTTTAAGAGAATAAAATTTAATCAAGTTGGTGTTGAATACAGGGTGTCTCAAAAAAAAACTTACCCCTTTCTAGAAAGTTTTTTTTCATCTTCAAATAAGCTATTTTGTTTGTTTTCTTTTCTAGATGGATAGAGCTGGGAGAAAGCTAGTACGTGATACGGTTGATATTTTGAAAAAGCTTCATCCTGTTTGGGGAGCTAAAAAAATTTTATCAGATATCAAACCGATACTGGACCGACAACACATACAATGTACAAGCGAAAATTCTTTACTACAAAATATCAAATATCAAATCAAGAAGTTTAATGAAACTGGAACAACAACGATTCGTCGATCCGGGTCTGGTCGTCCAGTGACAAAATCAAACAATCAACTGTTAAATGAATTGAAAAGAAAGGTTTTAAACAAAAGAAGATGCTCGGTTCGAAAGTTTGCATCAAAATCAAAATTGAATGTATCAAAATCTACTGTTCATCGAAATTTGCGAACTATTGCTGAACCGTATCATCGTCAAACATCTTCGAAGGTCACAGAACAACATATCATGAAAAGAAGAAAATTTGCTCGTTGGCTGAAAAGATATTGGAAACTTGATCCAAAAGTACCAAGTTCTAAATGGCAACGATTAGTCAATACTGATTTTTCTAAACCTATTCGTCTGACACCACAGCTCAGCATCAAAAATGATATAATTTGGTCTACTAGTCGACGAGACGCTGATACACATGGTGGTTATTATGGTCGTGAAAAGTTTTCTTCTGATGTCATGCTTTGGGGTGGCATAAGTTGGAATGATTTAATTCCAAAAAAGGTTCCTGTATTTGTCGACGAATTTTTGGATGAATACCAATGGCCGAAAAGTAAGAAAAGAACAATTAATGGTGCTCGACATGAAAATCTACTGTAATTACTAATATTGCTTATCCATCTATTCTGGAAAAATATCCAAAACATGAAGCAATTTTTCAAGATGATGCAGCAAAGATTCATCGGACTCCAGCGATGCTTCGAAAAATTGATGGTTTATTTAATGAAAGAGTGCCAGTTGATGTTCAAAGTCCGAAATTCAATGATGTGTGGGCCATTGAGACGGTGTGGGGCATTATATATGAAAAACTTCTTGATACAAAATACTCAAATATTAACGAACTGAAGAGAGAAATCAAAAAAAATTGGCAATCATTTTCGTCTCAGCAATGTCAATCCATCATTTCATCAATGGTTCGACGAACTTCTTTATTAATAAAAAATGGCGGGAAACGCCTATGTCATGATGATTATAGATCCTTATAGATTTTGAAATAAAATTTGTTTTACATTTGAAATGTATTTTCTTTTAAAAGCCAAAAAAATCTAGGGGCTAAGTTTTTTTTGGGACACCCTATACAACCATGATTTGGTCCCGGAACAAAATTCGAAACTAACAAGTTTATTGTGTGTTCCTACCTACAATAGAGTCGCTTCAAAATAAAAGCATTTGTGTCTTGTAGCATTTTCTTAGCTCTATCTATTACAATAGACGTTAGTTCCAAACTCAGTAGTATAAGTGCAGAAATCAAATTTCAAAAAGGGGGTAAGTTTTTTTGGGACATCCTGTATTTTAGCAAATAAAGTTTTTATAGAAATTGACTTTCGTTTGTCTTTTTTACTAATAATGATGATTAATATGAGAAAAGAAGATCGGTAAAACAAGATATATTTAAAGAGAAAAGAAACGGAATGAATAAATATCATTTTCATTCAGAAGTCCTTTATGAATAATTTGATATGCTCATTGTTAATTGAGATATAATTGATCGTTCTTTTAAATCTTGATTATTTCTTCTTTCGATAATAAACATTAAAATACCGGCATAAATACAAGCACCTAGAAGTAGACCCCATAATCTACGTGAAAATGGTTTTAAGAATGCAAAGAAATTGATACCAGCATTGTTTGCTTGTCTCACGACAAGGCGCAAAGAATTATCATATATAGGACTAGAAAAACCAACCACTTCGCTTCTTGCAGCAGTAACGGTAACATCACCAATGACAATATCATACACACCCTTATTTACTGAGAAAACAGTTTGGGTATATGTTTGATTTGATGGTGCCAATATAAGAGTTGCACTAAAATTAAGTTGATCCATTAAAAGCTGAATAAGATCAGATCCATAGCCAGTATATTGTACTGTACTGCGTCCGTTTTCATCTGTTACATTCTGAACGATTATAAACGGAATTGATTCAATTAAACCAATTCGTAAACTTACACCTTGAAGAAGTGCTCGATCAGTAGGTGGTCTTAAGGAATTTCCTGGCCATATAATACCATTTTGTATTACAGGTACTCTCCAATGTTCAGAACCAACGTATTCTAATACAGGTACAAAATTCAAACCATTTAAATATGTTTGAACATTTTTTAAAGAATAATATGAACCATTTGTTCGATCTGTAGTATTATTGCTAAATCCCACAAAACCAGATACACCAAAGAAATTCGCTCTAGCAAGTATTAATGATAATAAATCATATTGATTGAAACGAAAGTCAAAACAGAATGAAGATTCAATAAAAGAAAAACATGATGAAGAAGAGTTATTTATTTTTGATGAACATAATTCTTCTAAGGATTTAATTAATGCCCATGTTGCATCAAATGCAAATAATGCATAATAATCAACATTGGTTGATCCAGGATATGTTTCATTTTCATAGTTTTGCCATATATTATATGCTTCGTTTAATAATTGAAAATCATAGGGTGCATTAATAACTGATCCAATAACTGGTTCAATTAAGAGCATTCCAATTAAATTTTGATAATAAATTTCATTAAAAGAATCAAATGAAATTTTATTACTAAGTATCCATGTGAAAAGTGGACCAACAAGATTAGAATTAAGAGCCTCTTGTAATATTAATGATGTGTAGCTTGATTCAGCCCATAAAATAGCAATTCTTGATGGACTATTCATTAGAATAGCCTTCAAATCGCCATCAATAGTTCTTTTAACAATATCATAGACAATCAATTGTACCACATTTATATTGCTTGCATTAAATGCATTATTCATAGCGTTCGCTGCACCAGATCCAAATGCATCATTTTGATAAATAATTACGCATGATGTCCAATTAAATTGATTGAATAGCTTAACCAGAGCTGCTGCTGCTATAGTATCCGATGGAGCTGTACGGTAAAAATTAGGATAAGTTGTTACATCAGATAACTCTGGATCCGTTGCAGAATAGGATATAACGGGTAAACCAAGTAATTTACCAAGTGGACTAATTAAAATAGCTTCTCTTGATAATTCTGGACCAACGATACCAACTATATTTGATTCAGATACTGAACGACATGTCTCTCTCAATGCAATCATTGGATCACCCATTGTTAATCCTTCTTTCCATCCGATCAACTTTCCACCTATTTTTATATTATGTTGATTAGAAAGCACTATAGCCGATTTAAACATGGCCCGAGAATGAATAGCTATGATGCCATTATTAGATGCATTTGGCGTATAGTGAAAAAGGCCAAGTAAATAGATATCAGATGAGTTTGATGATGGCCAAATAGATATAACACTATGGATGTTTAATTGAACAAATAAAATATTTAATAATAAACACTGAAAGTTGAGGAAGATTAACATTGATGAGGAGTAGTGACACAAATAAAATTAATCGTTTATCTATTATAATAAAATAAAATGTATAATAGAATTAAAGTAAAATAAAAAGTTTTAATTTTTTTTGAAATATTGGTTGATAGAGAAAAACATAATTCAAATGAATATTTTTAATTGAATGAAAAAAGATCACTTCATGGTAAATGTACAGAAAAAAAGAAAGAAAAAATTCGATGAACTTTTCTTCTTATAGAGCAAATAGGATGAACTCTATTTTTGAAAAACATTAAGTTCATTTGCATCTTTTTAAATATATTAGTTGATTAATCAATTGATTGTTTACAACTAGACTGTAGAATCCTCCCAATCCTATGAATATAAGTGAGATTTTTATAGATTTTTATTTTCGAGCAAACCTTTTTCTATGAATTCTGTATGTCTATTTCAATATCATCCCCGTTTTCAGTAGCCTTACAATTTTACATTGTTTTTGTCTTTTAATAACAAGTAACGTGAATCGAAAATCAATTCACTGAGCCCTAGACTGATAGAATTTACCCATACAAACGCATGATCAGTTGACAGTGGCGACTACTTCTTTGAGTGATCCCAAACTTTCTGAAGGAATGGCCACGTAAGTTTAAGACAGACAAGGAAGGCATATGGAGATTAAGTAAAAGTAGGGCACGGATACGACGAATATGAAAAAATGACAAAAACAGTAACTAAAAAAACGCATTCGAAGTCAGCGCGAACAAAAGGTGCGAGGCAGTGC